ATTCAGAATCTTGATTAAGCATTTAAGCAAACATCATCCGGATATACCACTTGGCATTGTACCCTGAATCATGCTGCCAGCTGATTGGGTGGACGGGTGGTCGTCTTCCTTAATCTTAATTAATTGATAATTAATCCCATTTTTTAATTACTGATGACTCATCAACCACATTATTACATTAATATATTTGCATAATTGTCGTACTCCTTGTACTCTTTCATGCACTAGAAGCTTATATATAGAGTTATAGCCCTTATATAAGCATTTAGCCTTATAGGGATGAATTATTGATGCTAATTATATGTGTTTTGTTTCCTTATTGTTACTTTTTTACTGATGAATTATTGATGCTAATTAGGGATGAATTAATCAACAACTACCTAGTAGTAATAAGTTTTTATGTGTTTTGTTTCCTTATTGTTACTTTTTTTTTGGGTTATGTAATATTTTCCAAGTTGAAATTTGTCTTTACTAATGTTTTTATGTAATTATTTTAATTGCGTGTCTGCGTGTTAAAGATAAGACCTTCATTTGCTTTACTGTACAATATTTTCTCCGGTTTATTAAAATTACATTATCATTGATCGATTCGTTTATCTATAATTTCCATCTCAATATATATTAGTATCAAAATATCTAATTTTAATAACTTTAACTTTTAGTTGTTGTTATTGTTTTGTTTTTAAGCATAAAAGTCTAAACGTTGCAAGTTAAAAAGAAACGAAAAAAAGTATATGAATATGCCAAAGATAAAGTGTGCATGCACTAACTAGTAAAAATCTTATTGTGTGACTTCCATTTTTTTTTTGTTTGGTGTTCCATCCGTTTTACCTTTTTAGTTAATCCGGATTCGAAGCTCAATTTTGAGTGGTTAAGTTCCAATCCCCTTCCAATTATTGTTACTTCCATCTTTTTGAGGTTATAGGTTTGAGTTTTATCACTGACCTAGATACAAGTATGATTATTGTTGGGGTAGTCTTTCTAATGTCGTTCCCCCTTCTACGACCATACCCAAAGGTTCGGCTTGCAATAAACGTTGCTTTGACTTGCAAGGAGTCTAATTCAATCTACCCCATTTACGTATACGTAGTATATCAATTCTCTTAAAAAGTCCCTAAGAGTGTTTGGCCAAGCTTAGAATCCAAAAGAGCTAAAGTAGGCAATAGTTTACCCAAAAATTTTAAGTCCCTTAGAGTGTTTGGCCAAGCTTAGAATCCAAAAGAGCTAAAGTAGGCAATAGTTTACCCACAAATTTTTATAGGAGAAACTAAGAAAGCTTCTAAAGAAGTTAGCAGTGAAAATAGTTTACCCACAAATTTTAATATGCGGCTGTGTGACCAGCCATCATGGGGATAATTTTGTGAGTGCTATGGGCTACTCGATCAGCGTTACATGAGTTACTTTGTCAGTGTTATAAGGATTACCCGGTCAGTGTTTTAAGGGTTACTTAATTAGTATTACAGGAATCACTCGATTAGTGTTATAAGAGTTACTCCCTTCTTTTTTTTTTTTAACAAGCGGCCACACATAAAACATGCTGTTACAATTATTATTACTATTATAATTATTGTTTTTCTAGAGGAAGACTATAATAATTATTGTTGTTATTATTATTATTTTTGAGGCAAAGTATTATTTTTATTATCTTTTAATATTAGTTATAGTTTATTTCAATTTAATTCCGTTCATTTTCCAAAAGAAATAAACCTTACAAAGGGGGTGATTAGGGTGGATGTCTTCCTTTAAACATCAAAATTAATTTTTAATGATTGATTTCCACAAAGTAATGTGAGCATATTCCAATACTAGGTTAATTCCGTGCGATGCATGATTTAAACAATAATTTTTTTGCTTATTTGTATGTGATACGTATTTAAGAAAAATATAATAAATCGTGTGATCATATTAGATAATCGAGCTATAACAAAATATATGATGTTAAATATGGAGTATTATAATCATATATATATATATATTATTTATATTTATTATTATTATTGATGTATAGAAGTAACATCTAACATCACTCAATTTCCAAGTTGCCGGACCTAATCTCCAACTTATCTCCACCCCGTTTTTGTCACTCTCTCTTTTGTCGTCATCACTCATCATTGTCATGCTTCATCCAATACAATCTCCCAAGTATTCATTTTTTATGAACGAAATCCTCCAATAATTTATTTTGTTTTTTTAAAATATTTTTTTTAATTAGCACAATCTCCTAATAATTCATAACAGAGAGTACTGGTACTTCGTAGAAGTTTCACTTTCTTTCCATCCTTAACGAGTGTCCCAATCTCAATCAATTAATGGAATCTTTTAACACGTCCATTTGAACTATTATATACAAAAGGAATACACTTTTAGTTCATACTAGTACAGTGTGCCCGTGTGATGCACGATTTAAAAAAATATTTATATTGTTGATAATTTAAATATTAAGTATTATTGGACTCTAGTATATTAATAAATGCTTTATTACATGTTATATATATAATTTGTAATAATGGCCAACACAAAAATTATGGAATGAATTTTCAATTAACATTATATAGACGGAGTTAATTTTAGAAGGAGTCGGATCAAATTTATCGTAAACATCTCAAATTAGTAACGGCCTTACTAAAAAAAACTCTATATATAGGTTTTAAAAAAAAATAAAATAAAAAAATAAATCAATTATATAAGGCTATGGAAAATGATTAATTATTTCAGAAGACTTGTGTAAAATTTGACTAAAATTCACCAAAATATGACTCATATACTCAAAAAAATATATTAATAGTACATTATTAAGATAATTTTTCTATTAGAGTATCAGTTAGTTGAATTAAATATGTGCTTATAGCTTACTCATAAAAGTGTAGTTTTGATCTAAAAAAAAAAAAAAAAAAGATAGTTACATATTCATTCAACTTTTATGTATGATTAATGTCAAAAATATATAGATGGAAAAATATGTATACATTTGATATATCAATTTTAAATATAATATTGAGTTATCAAAGTTTTTATGGTTGATTGATTTAAAAAATCATTCTACGTTAATGCGATAAATAATATATGCGATAGATTAGTTCCTTTTATTATTATATTATAATATAATCTATTACTATAAAGTCTAGTTATTTAAGTTTATTATAATATTTTATTTTTAGTTATTTCCATAAATATACAGTGAGAAAAAAAATATATAGAATGATTAAGAATATCTTTCATTACTATTTTTTTTTTTGGAAATAAGCTTTGGAGGAAAAAAAAACTACACCAAGAAGTGACACGTGTCATTCCTGGTGTCTGTTTTAGTATTTTGTTATTGATTGACTAGTATTAATTTGTCACAATTCTGCCACATTTGCCAAGGTATAATTTTAAATGAACATTAAAATCTTCAATCATCTCTAAAAAAAATCACAAAAACTTTTATTTATGGAATGTTTAAATCGAGACAAATTACGCATCTCAAAACATATTTTATATGTCAAATATCTATAATTATACTCCGTATAAGAGTAAAAATTATAAAAAGTTGATAATGTGAAAATATTTTATGAGACGAATCTAACAAGATCAACATGACTATATTTTACTCAACGTATAAATCATATTATGTGGTCAAAGAGTAATGAATAATGCAAAAGTCCAAAATATTATTAGAGCAGAGGAAGTATTTAGTACTATATTCTGTAATAACTCGTACAATCTATTCTGATATATATTATATAAATAAAGTAGGCATTTTTGGAGAGAATTCGGAGCGCCACGTAAGAAATATACTTATTTCGACCAATAAGAAGAAAGATTTGTATTTTATTTTTGAATTAAAAAATTATGTCGCCACCTAGGTAAAAGTAACAAATTAGATTTGATATATCTAAAATTTTAATGCCACGTAGATTATAATCCACGAATAAAATTTTTTTAATGAAAAAAATAAAGTAAAAATATAGGAAAAGATAAATTTATTAATTCAATACTATGAGTATAAGAAATCCAAAAAAAATATGCTAAGAAATATTTAAATGATAAACGCTTATAATAAAGTTTGATACATATCATTATAAGATAAATTTTGATAGTATTTATGATAAGAAATACAAATTGTTCGTTAATTATAATTAAATTAAAAAACCCCCATCAAGCGAATTTTATGTTAGTAATTTTGTGTTAATTTTTGCGGGTAATTTTTAGCTTAATTTTTAAATCCTATATTTAAATTAATATTTCTAATTATTACTTATATTGTATTAATTTGGGATACTCAACGATTATATTTTTATATTTTATTTACAAAATATTTTTTTACATGGAGATCTAACACATCATACGACACAAATAAAATTTCGCATCAATACAAAACCCCATCAAGCGAATTTTGTGTTAGTTTTAGGTCATCAATGTCCGGGTAATTTTTAAAATATTAGGTTTAAATTTATATTTGTAATTATTAGTTACATTGTATTTATTTAGGATAACGATTATTCGTTTATGTAATGGCATACGATTAGATGTTGTATACTTTATTTTTGGACATGATGAAAAAATTCCAATGCATTGATGTGATTTTATATCGCAAGAATTTTTTCATTTATTGGTAAATATATTGATTTATTTATATAAATTTAAAGATTTAATTTATATCAATTTCAGTTTGGCTAACATTTCACGGTTCAATTTATCCATTGATGTGGTAGGTTGGTTGTGGACGAGGTTGGTGATTCCATCGAAATAAAAGATATGGTAAAACAATGAATAATGATTTAGGATTTAAATTATTAAAAATTTATCATTTTACATTAAAGATTTTATATAACGGAAAAAATATCATATTTACAATTTATTTATATTTAATAAATTCATTATATATTATAGTAAAAAAAAAAATTAAATTTTTGTAATTTTGTCTGGGCTTCCATTTAGTATTTAAAATAAATTGAGGAGAACACGCCCAAACATGGACAAGAAAAATTTATCTCATCCCCTATAAATTCTCTCTCCTTTCTTCTTGCTCTACAAATATCATCATCATCTCACTCTCTGTCTAAAACCAGTGTCACCATTTTTTTAGAGAGAGAAAGCTTCTAACTCGCCATCGCCAAATCCTCTCTCTTTCTCTCTCTCACACTTTCTCTCTCCTAAATTTTTGAATGTTTGAGTTGAGTTGATTGTATAATGGAATTCAGCTTTTCATCACCTGATTTTTCCGTAAATTGTTCACACTCTTTGTTATTTGTTGCTGATTCTTCTCCTAGAATTTCTCACTCTTGTTCTTGTTCTTCTTCTTCAATTCCAGAATCTTCGCCGAAATCGCGTGATTCTCTAACTGATAATTGATGACTGAAGATTAGTGTGATTATTTTTTATGTTTTTTTAATTGTGCCTGTAAATCGGGGGATTAATTGTACTAATAATTCAAAAAATAACAAAAATCAGTAGAAATGATGATGATGAGTGCATCTTTGCCGTTGTTTACTGCTGCTACTGTCTCATCTTCCATGGCTGCGATTTCATCAAGGAGTTGTTTCAATGATTTTTGGAATTTTAGGTAATTTTCTGCTTATCTCTCTTACTTTAATTTGTAAGTGTACCTTTATTTCAACTTTTTGTTGATTTTTCTTACTTTTTGTACTTTGCTTTGAAATTTGAATTCGATGATTTGTTTGTGATTTTTTTTTTTATGCTTATTTGTCCTCAATTATTCCGCATTTTTGTCCTATTTATTGATGTGTTTGTGATGTTTTTGTTCATTTTGATGCTTATTTGTGCTCAATTATTCCATATTTTATGTTAAATTATTAAATAAAATGGATCACTTACTTTTTTGTGATTTTTTTTTTTTGTTCATTTTGATGTTACTTTGTGCTCAATTATTCCACATTTTATGTTAAATTATTTATTAAAATGGATCACTCACTTTTTAGACCATTTTATGGCCAATCTCCTGAGAGATCTTCTTAGTTTGTCACGTCTAGCTAAGTTTTACGAGTATTAGTTGTACTAGCCTTTAAACCCGTGTGATGCACTGAACGGAAAATGAAGAATAACAATCCTTGTAAGCTGTAACACGTTATAAAAATACATTTGATTAGACCTTTAAAGGTATATGCTTAAAAAATTATACAAGTATATGGAAAGGATGAAATATTACACTTGGAATGGGATTATTGGGAATGACTTAAGGAAATTACAAAAGATTGTTTGCTTGCTGGAAAGGATAATTATTTATTTAAGGTTTACAGCTGACTTTTGGATTAAAAATTGACAATGAATTTCTATCACTATTTGTATTATAATTGACCCCAACAAATTTGTTGAAGTGGTCTAATTGGAGCCTATATTATGAGATAGAAGTAAAAAATTTTGTTTGTTAGTCCATTTGATTCTATTACTTGTGTTAATTATCATAGATAGTTTTTCATGTAAAAATATGGACTAGATAACACGATTAAGTCCTAAACGTTCGGTTAAGGATGGGTGCTGACTGTTGAGGATTTGAGAATGAGTGCATTAAATTGTGACATGAAGTTCAGTGATTGCTTGATTTTTCTGAGTTCCTTGCATCAGAAAAATCAGAGGAACAATGCGTCGATAAGATATGGTACCATATAGGAATAAAGTTTTACACTGTTAAAGATGTTCTAGATAGGAGGGACATACTTGTTTTTTGAAACTATTTGAGAGGCATAATTTTAGTTGTAGCTATACTGACGTGGTAGCTGGTAGTTTATATAATAACATACCTGTTTAGGATCCTTGTTTTAAGTACTCAAAATTATGATTAGGTGCTCTGATGATAAGGCTGGCTATCTTTCGAATGTAAATGGGATGAAGATATCATTCTTGACATCACTGATGATGGCAACAGCCCGGCACCCAAGAAACAGGAGGTTTAGCACCAATTGTCCTAATACCATAGCAGCTGCTTCGGCTTCTCCACTTTTCAATGGTCAAGTGACGAGCGATTCTTATGGACCTAATTTTTATAAGGATGTATGTAATTCTCTCTTTCGGTAGTATGACTTTATGGAATCCAACTTCCATGCTGCAATACAGTCATATTGCCAATCTTTATAAGTTCTGATCTAATTACGGTGAATCATAACCTTCCTGCACTTTATTCCTGCATTGATGTGCTAGTCTGATCACATTTCTTAATTATTGTCTTAAGTTAGCATCATTTTCCATGAAGGGTAATTTTGATTTATTTATTTTTCTATATACTACCTCTGTTTCATATTACGTGCAACATTCACTACAAACGATTCTACACATTATGTGCAACAAATGTTTTCTTTCCTTTTTAAGTTGTCATTTATATCTATCTCTCTCCTCGTCACATGTATCTCTATCTTTCTCTCTTCATTCAACACTCGCAAACAAATTTTTCCTAGGAGTCCATGCAAACTCATTTGTTGCACCTAATATGAAACAGAGGTAGTAACTATTTATTTTATTTATCATAAATCTTTATTGGAAAAATGGTGCTGATAATTGAACAAGTCTGAAGATGATTGTGTGAAGCATTATATTTCTTTCCTACTGTGCTTGTGCTTGATACTGTTGTGTCTGACCTTACTCTTATGATTTGTGTGGTTATGTGAACTTCTGGAAACTAGGTGATTCTGATGAACATGCATTTCGATCTAGTAGTAGGTAGTAGAAGGTTTACTTATCTCAGCTTTTTGAGCGCATGGTTTAACTGCTATTGTAATTTCCAGGCTCTCAAGGCTGCAAGAGAGAAGTTTACTGAGGAGATATCTTTTCAGTCAAAGGACAAAGATATCTCCCTTGCAAAGGTAAATTCTGATGAGCAATTTGGCTTACTCGCTGCTCATCCTTTGAGGTGAGAAGCTGATGGTATATATAGTCTCTGCCATAGATATTTTCCCAAGTAGAGTAATTTCTACCTTTCTTTGCTGAATGGGGTTGCTATATAAACCAATGCCTATAATAGTTTATCCAATTGGAAGCTATATACTCATGTTTTTTCCTTGGATAAGCAATTTCAAAATTCTAGTTATTCTCTATTTTATGCCTTTTTCCCCATCATGTCTAGTATCGGAAATAATTTTGACGTGCGTCTTTGTGTTTGTCAACAATGTTCAGGCTCTTCTGTATGTTGCTGCTGAAGATGAAGCATTTATGGCATTTAACAGAGAGATGGATGCTCGTTCTGTTTTGAATGAAAGGAAAGATGTTCCAATAGCAGCCAATGACCATGAAGGGGATTGTTTGGAGCTTATGCCTCTTGCTGGAAAGAGTTTAACAGAGTGGCTGAATGAATTGGATGCTATTGCTAGAGAAGTTGAGGCCGAGTTAGTTTCAAGAGATATAGGCTGCCATTTGGTTGAAGTTATAGAGGCTGTAAATGTAGTCCTGTTTGAATCTAGATGCTTCAAGAGGGTATCAATAGCTGTGGAGCCGAAGTGTTCTTACTTGCATGGGGTTCTGAGTTCTGGAAATGGCAGTGGTATAGCTTTTCATTTCATTTCCCTATCCAAATCTGTCCTCTGCTCTTTAGTTTTTGCAATACTTTTTCCCTTAAAGTGAGATGCTGAGATGTCATTTTTTCCCTGCATTCATCCTGGAGTCTCAGGATATATCTCTTTATCCCATATATTTTGAGCTGATGTTCAGTGATGCTTAGGATATGAATTCTTCTATGAACAGCTATATTGCTGAGCATTATATACATAGAAGTCTGTAAGAGACTTGGTTTGACCATGTTGGGATCTCGTGTTGGAGAGGACTTTTTAATATGGCCCCAAACCGAAAACCCAGAGGTATATTAATGTTGTGCCTCATCTACTCCTTTTTTGTTTATCTTTAGGCCAATTGGTCAAGTTGTCTTGATATATTTTCTGAATAGGAGCTCTTCAAAGTAACTTCGGGGCATAGTTTGTTTGCCATAGTTAATGGGAGGTGTGTGGAAGATCCAAGATCAATGGCCTCAGACCTAAACAGCAATTCACTTCTAAGTCTTGATGTTGTTACGAACCGTGATGTTATTGGGATTGCTTTGGCAAATTTGATTGTAAGCAAAATTTCCAAAACATCTGATTTGTAATGTTACAATCGGAAAATTCCATTCTTATAGAAGTCTTTTCTAAGGGAACATTTCTTATTTGACATACACTTGTCCATGATGTTTAATCTGGAAACATTGTTGGGTGTAGAGGCTGCATTGGAAACGTGCTTCAAGATCAAGTCATGGGTTGATGCTAACATCAGCTTTAAGGCTTGTTCATGATGCTGACAGGAGGTTTGCGAAGATAGATGGATCAAATCATCCGTTGTTGCGTCCTCGAGATTTGAGGTTTTATATCATCTTGAATTCTTAATATTATTAGCTGTTAGTTTGTTGTTGATAATAGATAAGCATCATAAAATGCTGACCTCTGGATGCCTTGGTCCTTCCCATGTTGCACAGCTTGCAATACCAATTTATGTGTTCGGGATATTCTATCCTTGGCATTACTGTGCTCAATTAGAATTAGACTTCTGGATAATGCCATAGAGGTTTTTGGCACCATTCAGGCATTAACCCTTCTGAATAGTTACTCCTAACTTGACTTTAACTATGTAACTTTTGCTGGTGGTGCCGTTCCTCTATGGACTTGATCTGCTGATGCAGTTGTTTCTGACCAGTTTAGTCTATATCTCTGAAAACTGGAATCTTTCTCCGCCTGTTGGGCAACTTAGAGTTGCTTGAAATTGGTTTAATAAGGCTTGAAAAAGTCTCATGCCAGCTATCGTTTTATCTATATCCTTTTTTTGAAATTGCAATACGCATTCACATAATCTTGGATGATGAATACCGATCATCTCACATTCATTACTTGGCTGTGGTGAGGTCTTTGTCAAGAAGATTGTTGCAATATTGTGCAAGACTTATTTGTGTCGTATATTCTTACTGGAAAATGTGACTAGTGTGATATTTTAAACTTTTATCTCGTTTTTCGTTCTTGTTATATGGTTCTGTTTTTATTGATTCAGCAGTTTAACCTTTTCCAAAATTGTTCTTTTTCTTCCCGATCCCACCTTTTTTCTCCATTACTAACACCATCTTTTTCGGCAGGTTGGCAATTGCGGCTTCAGAAAGGCTATTAATCTTACAACCTCATAACTGGTCTTTAAGGAGAGACCATGGGCTGATGTTGTACTATAATAGGTACTTCTTATATTTTATTTTGTTGTGTTAAATTTGTCGCTTATCATGCAAGATTCATAATACTGACTTCAATTGGCAGGCAATATGGAGAAGCAGTCCAAGAGTTGAGTATTTGTATGGCCTTTGCACCAGAGGAAGAGGCAGCTCTCTTGGAACCATTTGTCGAGAGACTTCACCTTATGCGTCTAGAGTCATCCTGGAAATCTTTGGGACATGCAGGTCAATTGACTGCCCTTTGATTTGTGTACATATATTTAACTGTTAGTCTCCTTGGACTCTTCAGCATAAAACGAAAATTTGGAACGATCAAGTCTACAGTTCAAGCGTACGAGCTCACCTATTCAACCCATATGACCATTTAGATGTATCAAATAGAATCGATTCAGTGGATAAGTGCGAAGATGATATGTTATATTCATGTCTACTTCATCAATTGTGATCGTTTTTTGCAATTGCATTTTTATGGAATTGTTCGGTTAGTCCTTGAGATGATTTAGAGCTGACTAGTGACTTCTGAAGCTGGAATGGAAGGACAAGCATATTAAACGAAATCTCCTTGTAGTCTGTTGCACCGTTATTCCTCATTTTTGATGGTGGTGGTTGATTAGATCTATTCAAGCCATATGCTCGTATCATATTAGAATAGATCAGATCTCCATTGTTATTACTACTGTGAATATTCTTAATACTATAATGTACGCTTAAAATGATAAAATTTAATCTTCACAACATCAATGGTAACAACAGGAACATGTTGATGGAAATAATCTAACTGCCAACAGTCCTGCTTATGAATGTTATGACCACTTTCTTCAATATGACTAAATGAGTGATCCTTGAGGAAAACCCCAAGTTTTGGTAAATTTGGTCTTCTTGGCACGGGTCACCGGATGCTACTCGTAAGAACACAAGATTTGTGGACATGGTTTTCGACATACGGAGTATGAAATAGCATAACATACACCCGAACAAGCAAGAACCAATTTAGAGCATATCATATCATATCAGACTAAAACTGTGAACTGAGAAGCCGACGACAAGCCTGTGCGGCCAAAGCCTACTGAATCTACATATGATCCACCAGCTAGCAGACTTTATACGAGCAAAATGAGAGTATACACAACAACCAAGTTAGTGAAATGGAGGGTATTCTTCAGATTTAGCTCGGTGAGTTCAATATCCTTTAAAAGCACTCACTGAGCTATATGCCATACAATTTATCTATATATACAAGAGGAATTTCTATGAAGCATATGTAGTGCTTTTGAAAAGTTTAATCGATACAGCAGTTTAAATCTACTCAACTAAGCACTTTAACAAATCATAGATTGAATGGGATTTATATAAACTTGTTAACAAACAAGAACATCTTTAAACAAATTTTATTAGAGCTTTTGTAGCTAATTTTGGTACTTGCCATGCTAACAAAGCAGAACTATTGGCTGTGGAGTTGGGTCTTCAAATGGTAGTTAACATGGCCATTGACAAGCTGGTAGTTCAGATGGTTAACAAAGCATGTATTGAGGCTCTTCAAAATGATCAAAGATTCATGGAGGTGAATGTGTGCATGTGTTGAATGAGTGTTGTAGGATGATTTGATCTTTTGGTAATAGTTTGTGTATTTTTCATTGTTGTCGTGAAGGTAATAGAGTCCTCCGTAGTGGATAAGTTAGTTAATTTAGGTGTCATTCAAGCGGAGAAGGTTATCCATTTCGAGGTTCCACCTATCGAAATAAAGAACCTTTTTTGTGAGCATATCATAGGTGTGGCTACGCCACGTTTTATTGCTTAGTTTCTTTGTTGTTTTCTGGACTTGACCCTCATTTGCACCCAAAAAAAAGAAAACCCAAGATGAACAACTTTAAACCATTTGTTTTCGAGCCTAAACAAGTTGAACACATTGTTGTTCAAGTTAAACTTGTTTATCAATTGATCCCTAAATATTTTGTTCAAGCTTGTTTATTTACTTTTGTGAATGACATTTGATTGTACTTATTAACAAGTTATTCACGAGTGTATCATCTCATTAATCTTTCTAAATTTCTTATATATAAAACTCCTACATACATTTGAATTATTATTTTTTTTCTATTTTGCATTTTATCATAAAAAAAAATAAAAATTCTGCACTTTCGCACTGTATAAATATATACTGTAACAGTGTAACTCCATTTACTAGCCATAAAAAAAACTTAAATAAAAAATAGGAAAATGAAAAATCAAATCCACGTGATATTCACGTGCAAAGCTAGAGGCTTAGCAACAGCAAAAATCTATTCGAACACAGAAACAGCTCAACTCATAGAAGAGAAGAGAAGAGACAGAACAGAAGAGAGACTCAAACTCAACTCCAAAAAGCTTGATATTTTCATCAATGGCGATTTCTTTCCTTCCTTCAACTTCCATCAACGGAAAACTCAAGCTCAACCACCATCATCAACACCCCTATTTTCTCCCTCCTCAGCCGCCTTCTCGCCGTCTTCCGCTGCACGTGGCGGCGTTTCAGCGCGGAGACTTCGAGTCCCTAAAAAGGCGCGTATTATCCGGCGAAGCTTGGAAGGAGGTTTGGCACTCCGCTAACGACGGCTTTGAGCAGCTTGTTTTCGACGCTAGGAAGGCCGCTGAGCGGTTCGACCGTCGCTACTCTGTCTCCCGTCGTCTTTCTTCTGCCGCTGAAGCTGCTTCTGTTCGTGTTCGTGAATTGGACCGTGAGTTTGAAGTTACGCAAAAATGGCGGAGTTTTTCTCTTGATTTCTCTCGTAATTTGCCTAGGGTTTGTATTTCCCGCGTTATCTATTTCGGCTTTTGTTTTGTTATTTCTGCAATTTGATTGAATGGTAGGAGTTTTGTTGTTTGATTATTGTTTGCAATTTGGTTAAAATCATGGAATTTGGGGAGTAGGGTGGTGTTGTGATTTCGATTTGTAAAATTTGGGAATTTTTTATCCATTGCATGAGTGAGTTGCTGACTAAATTAGGGTTTAAGGCCCTTAATGTCGAGAACAAATACTAACACGGTCCGTTTACTCAAAATTCCAGTTCGTGAATGGGTGTAATCATTGGAACTTTGGAAGATATGGATATTGTTTGCCTTTAGAAGTTAAAATTTGCAATTTCAATTTATCAAATTGGGAACATTTTATTCATTGCATTTGAGTAAGTTGCTGACTTAATTTGGGTTTTAAGACTCATGATGATGAGAACGAATGCAAACACAGCCCTTTTACTTGAAATTCTTGTTCATGAAAATTGTGATAATCATTGGAACATGTGGGTGTTGTTTGCCTTTTAAAGTTGCTATGTCGTGCTGTTTGGAAAATCATAACATGATCCAGTGCAAGTATAGATGATAATTTTAGTTGGAAGTATGTGATGATAATAATGATGTAGTTTTATGACTTTATCGTGTGTTGTGTAATTTCTATTGTACTTCTTCATTCTTTTTTGTGGAAGTTGACATAATGGTTAATGCTGTTTATTAATTGCTTCTTGCAGTACAGGAAGCAGTTCAATAGTTTTATGGATACTCCCCTTGGAAGGAGTTCTGCGGTATGTATAAGTTTATGCACCTTTTTGCATCTGTTCTTCTCTATGAAGGTTATAATTTCAATGTGCCTGCCTTCAATTTTTCGAACTGAAATTTGAGCTTTGTCAACTTTTTAGTGGGTGGGCTACCACTAGTCCACTATTCATACAAACTAATCTTATTTATTGGTATCAGACCTTATCATTTTGAAGTTGTTGATAACAAGTCAATGGAGCCTCAAGGTGAAGAAATAAGACTGATTTGGTGAATTGACTAGCTCAGTAGGCTCTTGTTGGTTAATACTTGGGAATTTGGGATTCACATAGCTTTATAGATAAACATGGAAGACATGAGTGTGGTAAAATTGCGTTTTTCTCTTTTAATAGCCCTCCTTAGCTGAACTTTCATTTTGAATGTGAATGGGAGGTTATATTTTTAAGCATATCACCAGATGACATTATTTTGTATGTCTAAAGAAGTACCCCTCAGCCCCGTAAGGATATCCGTTGTTTCGTTAAAGGAGATCTTCTTGACTGACGTCTGCAAACTGAAATGAGAACTTCTTTTTGTTAAACTTCCCATACCCTTTATATTATACTACACAAGGAGTTTACCACAGGTTTCTAAATTCATTCAATAACGTAATTTCCAAAATTGAAGTGAGTGGCATTATTAGTATAACATATCGAAAGAGCTAAGCCAATTAATTCACCTTAAACTTTGCACAAAGAGAACGAAGATATTCTTGTAGGACCAAAAAGTAATTCATTAGATCTAAAGGCTACTCTACCATAACTTACATTCAGGTGCCTTTTTTTGTTTTTTGCCATTTTAATTAAAGTGATGGAAGATCCGTAGATGCTTTCAAACTTTGTGACTGTTGGCAAGAAGCCATCAGTATCAATGGATCTTTACTGCAGGAGAATTCTTCTAATGTCTGTATTGTTCCCCTACTCTGTGTCTGCATTTTGACTTTTATCTTGTTCTTGTCTTGCCATGTTCTTATTGTCTCCTTTATCTGTATGTGAAGCCATCTTCCTTTCATCTTCATTTTCTTGCGGTGGATCCGTTGTTATCCACCATTTCACCATGAAGACTGAAAATGGAAATATATCTATGCGATTTCTGTGTTAGTGATCTTTAGTTCTATTCACTCCAGAATTTTTTAAAAATAAATTTCATGTCCATATTGACATAGTTCAATAGTTGGGTCAATGCTAGGTTTTGGTTGTGCTTACTTTATATGTTCATTTCCATTTCAGACAATCTTCTTCTTATGGTTTGCTTTGTCTGGATGGCTATTTCGGTGTTTAATAATTGCCACTTGGGTACTGCCAATTGCTGGTCCTCTTCTGATCACTGCTGTTGCTAATAACATGACCGTAAAGGTAATTGCATCTGCTTGTATTAGTTGTTTTCCTAATTTTTTTGTGATCAAAACATCAATATTTTCTTCAACATTGTCTGCGAGTAAAGAGACACCTTATTCTGATAATAGTCTAGCATATTGAATTTAGTCCCCTTTATTGATGGCTGGCTAGTTCTTTCCATTAATTATAACATTAAAGTCCATGAGTATGTCTGTGAAGAGACCATATGTAATGGTTTTATATACACACAGCTGCACCTGGGTTAGAATCCAATGGTTTGTCCAAAAAGTATTGATGGTAAACATGGTATTGGGGTCTCAGTGCTTTCCGATTTTGTTTAGCTTGGAGTTAGTGTGAGTCTGGTGATAGGTGGAAGGAAAGGGTGCTTTGAACTTTATATGACTGAGTAATCTAGTTGAAAAATGCTTTTCTTTTGGTGTGTGTTAGATTTGAACTTGCAGTTTACAGTCGACAACAGAAGTAATATAGATATGTCACTGAACTTCATTCTTTTGGTGGGTAGTGTGGTATATGATCTTATCCTTTAAAAACTATGTATAAGGGAGATGATAAGATGGCTTGATCTCAAGGGTTTTAGAAGCCGGGGATAAAATAACCGTAGGGAGAAGTATTGCAAAAAAATGAATACAACTCTATTTCCCCTTCTTGATCCTTTATCACCTTATATACTGAGGCATGTGAAGTCTGAGTTACTGGGTGATCTCTGTGGTGTGGTAAAAGAAATATCAGAAATTTATTGTTGGGGTGAGAGGTTTTTTTTCTGGTGGATCGTTGTTCTCTGGTGACTTGGTGAGGCCAGTTGAGAAATGTCTTTGGTGATAAATGATTTGAAAAGGCAGATGTAGTAACCATATATATATATATATATATATATATATATATATATATATATATATATATATATTGGAGGCATAATTGATCTCAGTTATAACTCCATGAACAGCAGGCTGTTATAATCCCAGATACTATATCGTATGTTACTGAAATATTTCTGTTCTCCTTCTGAATGGGGTTTGGTTATCTTGTCTGTTGCTGTAATGCCAAGTATATTGGATAATACTGCCTCGGATTTTTTATTTCACTTGCAATGCTTGCTAACATGATTTCAATTATTAATATCTTCAATTGTCAATAAGTAAAATTGTAAAAAGTTGATATTTTGAAAATATACAAAGTATAATGGGAATAATCTAAGATGATCACACATGACTATGTTTTACCGTAATTATTAATCATCAAGGATAGTCAAAGTAGAGTATGTGGTTGATGTAAAAGTCAAAACATTGCCGGTAAAATAGAAACGGAGAAAGGAAACATGCCTTTCAGCTGCCTACTTATAAATTAGAATGGAAAATGTAGTCAGTTGCTGCAAATATGCTGGCAGAATAAATAACAATGTAAAATATTGAGTTATTGACAGCTGCTGTAATATGTTGGGAAAATCCAGATCTTGTTGCTGACATACCTTGCAAAAGTTATGCTCAAGTGTAATATAGCTATCAATCTTCTTCGTGCATCAAATGTTCTCATGCACTTTTTATGTGTTTTAAACCAAATTATATCACAGGGTGCTTGCCCAGCATGCAAAAGACAATTTATAGGTGTCAAGAACAGCGTAATACGCTGTCAAGGTTGTGGTAACATCGTCTGGCAGCCAAAGAGTGATTTTTTCTCAAAGGGGGGTGACAAGGTAACCCGGTCAAATTCTAACCCTGACATTATAGACGTTGAATTTGAAGAGAAGTGATGAAAACCGATATATACTCAATTCGGATATGATATGTTTATTAGTTTTCTTCGGTATGAACAAGCTGTGAAAATGGGAGTGCAAAGAAGCTGGCGAAAGGAGAAAATGTCGTATCTATTTAGGACGCTAAACACACTTATGTTATATTCTGTATCTCGAGTCTGATTAATCACATTGAGAAGCATAATGCTGCTGTCTCCTTTTTTGGATCATGTTTCTATGTTTAGAAAGCTGATAGGCTGATATATAATAATTTGTTCTGTTGGTGCATTCAGTGCCCTGACTTTGCTGTTGTACAGTAAAAAATCTCATCTTACCTCTCATGTAGATAATTTGGTTAAAGTTCTGTTCATCTAATGTGCTGAATCTTCTGATGTTACCTGTTTCTTGGTCTTTGTTTTTTTTTTCATCACTTTTTCTTGATTAGATAGTATGTATTTCCTTCACTCCACTAAGATTTTCCGTACCTTTTCGCTCAATTTTAAGAGTTGGTTCATCTGAAAGCATGGAGTCGTATTTTTTGTCTGTTGGTGGTTTTACATAGAATGCCAGGTTGGGGGAAATTTACTAAAATGGGATAGGTTTGTCCACAATAATTTAAAGGCATTACATGACATTTTTTAAAAAATCTGCTGTACTTCCTTATCATTTTTTTATTATTAAGCTTGTTGGTTGTTTATGTAAGTAGAAATTTAAAACTGTACGAAAAGCATGATGACCAATAAAATACAAGCTCAACAACTACTGAACTACCACTAAAAAGTTGACTCATATAAATCATGACCCCTTGATTTGCTCCTTTGTGAAGATTTCTTGTTAGGTTCCTTTCAAGCTACTACTTGACAGAAACACAACTCTCTCTTTCATTTCCTAGGTTATTAACAATCAAATCAATTACTTAATCTCTAAACTAATATTATTATTATAAACTAAGATATGTTAATGAAGATCACATACCAAACATGCAGATCTACCAAATATTATGTGTAGTTTTGCTTCATCTTAACTCAATAGTTGCTCGGTAGTCTTCATCACATAACCAATATGCTCATCTCATAAAAACCCGTTTCCTTGTCTATGCAAAACCAACATTAGCTTCTTACAAACATCATATCCTCGAATTTAGAGAGCGAAAAACACCAGTCATTTGATCTCTACTTTCATTGAAAAATTACCATGAGGCCTAAACCTCAAGGCCCTCTTAATATTAAGCTCCTCATTTTAGGAGTTACCCTTGCTTTTCTCCTCCTCTTTATCTTGAGATCAAATTTGTCATCATCTTCTGATCAAAGTACTTCACAAACCGTAAGAAGTAGAGATTCGGATTGTTCATCATCTTGCACGAAACTCCCATCCTCGCTATCTCATGCCCTCATTCACTACACAACCTCAAGCATCACACCACAACAAACACAAAAAGAAATCTCAGTTAGTGCCAAAGTGCTACAACAGAAGTCCCCTTGTAACTTCCTAGTTTTCGGCCTAGGCCATGATAGTCTAATGTGGAGCGCGTTAAACTATGGAGGACGAACTGTTTTCTTAGAAGAAGACGAATCATGGATTCAACAAATTAAACGTCGATTTCCTATGTTAGACTCTTATCATGTTGTCTATGATAGTAAGGTTAATCAAGCAGATACTTTGATGGAAATGGCCAAGGGAGAAGAGTGTACTTCAATAGGTGATGCTAGGCACTCAATGTGTCAACTTGCATTGAAAGGTTTACCTAAGGAAGTGTATGAAACTAAGTGGGATGTGATCATGGTGGATGCACCTACCGGGTACTACGATGAGGCTCCCGGTAGGATGACCGCGATTTACACAGCCGGGATGATTGCTAGGAATAGGGAGGATGGAGATACTGATGTATTTGTTCATGATGTGAATAGAGAAGTTGAGGATAAATTTTCTAAGGCATTTTTATGTGAAGGGTATATGAAGAAGCAAGAGGGAAGGTTGAGGCACTTCAATATACCAAGTCATAGGGATGGGTCAGAGAGGCCATTTTGCCCTAATTAGTAATTTTTTTTTTTTTTTTTTAATTTTTATTCTTTTATTGAAAGATTTTCTTGAGTTTTACACATTATTTTTCAATTATCATAAAATTCATAGAAGGTTCATGTATGCATGTTGGATGAGAAAGATTCTGCTTTACAATTTTTTTTTTTAATAATACGTAGTAGATGAGATGGGATGGAAAACTTGAGATATAGTATTAATTTTTTACTACTATGGAGAATACATGTAGCCATTTTGATTTTTTCAAGTCCTATAATTGGTATGAAAAGCTATTTCTCATTGTAGACTGAGGAACCGCAGTCATATTCATTTATCAAACCTGATATTTCCGACCCGAGTACTATCAAGGAAATCAATCTACGTAGAATATAAGTACCTCTCATAGACTAAGACATTCAACTATGTAAATCAACGCTTGAGAGTAGAGGAGAAAGGTGAGCGAAACCCCCTACTCCCAAACATTTGTAGTTGGTGGGGCTCGAACTTATGACCTTAAAGTTAAAGGAACTCCATTAAATTTGCTTGGTACAAGTGTACAACTCTCCTGTCCACTTAATTAATACTCTGTATTTCATGTGCAGTGATCTATAATTACTTCCTCAATTGCATAGCTATTGTCTGAATTTCTATATGGTTTGTTTTTTTTGAGTTTGCATCAATTTCTTATTAGTTAACATGGTCCCTACAATCTCTCTACTTTAACGCTATCAATTCATATGTCTCTTGTTAAATTGTATGTGAAGGCTGGAATACTTTTAAAAAACGGATGGAGTAATGGTTATATTTAAAGATAAATCTAGGACAAAGTACAAAATCCAAATTTGATTAATCCAATCCTCTTAACTATTTCTAGGTTAAAATGAACCAATATTTTTGATAAAAAAGATGTCATCCTTGGCTCATATGTAGTACAGTAGTAGACAATGTACTAGAAAAAACACATCTCCATTCTACATCTGTACTAGATATAACACCTCCTATGTGCTCATCATGTCACCATCTTTCTGGCTTTTTCCTTCTGGCTTTATCGATTGATTATCATATTATCCTTGTCACAAAAAATTTCCACCAAAATAAATAAATGTGTCAATCATAAGTGAGGGAATGAGGTCTAGGCTTATCCTTCTCCATATAAAATTTACAGAAAAATAAAAAACGTTTACTTATGAAGTGTTCAAGTATATATGCTCACAAGTATAATAATCTTAGTTTTTCATAAATCTTAGTTCAAATTACATCTTGACCAACTATTATGTATGCACTCGTAACAAACTACATCTTGACCAACTATTATGTATACACTCGTAATAAAACTATGTGATTCCATGAATACTACGAGTATTAAAATGAAAATCATTTCCTTTACTTGGGTTCAAAAATTATTTTTCCCTAGTAAAGCTCCATAAAAACGGCAGTCTATGAGTCCCACTTAACACAGATCAAGCAAAAAATTTACCAACCGATGAAATCCAACGTACCATGAAGGTATTAAAAAAAATTTAGGATTTTGAAGATTTTTCACACCATGTATCGGGAGTATTGATATATTAGTAGTACACTTTTTATTTTCAATACTTAATTTATATAAACAGAGAAATTAATCAATTTAAATAATTAATTTCAACTTTTATGTTCTCTCCAATAGTATTCATCAAATTGTGAAATTACTCTTTGTCCTTTAGTAACTAAACACCCAAGTATCTATATCTATATACCACGTTGCTATACAAGAGTGTGTCTGGCACATTTCTAGAACAATTTGGAACATTTCTAGCTCAGGAAAAACAATGTCCGCAATTGCTGCAACTTCCTCAATTTCACCATCTTCCTCAATTTTCACTCATGAAGGTTTGTTTCACCCTCTTCATTAAATCATTTCTTTGTTTTTTGGATAAAATTAGATTGAATTTTGTTTAATTAAATATACTTGATGATTTTTACAGGGTTTAAAGGGGGCCTAAACACTTTTCGCTTCTCACCTTGGAAGCTTAAGGAAGTGGGTATTCTTAATTTTTTATTTTTTTTAAAAAATTCTTAATACTATTTTGTCTAAATTTTATGTTATTATATAATTGGGGAAATTGATTGTGGATATGTTTATTGATAATGGGTTTTAAGCTGCTTGATTAATTTATATGTGGGTTTAAAGTTTTCAAGTGTACACTTTTGGAATTGTTGAAAGTGGAACTTTCATGTTTTTATTGTAATTTCTAGGATTGAAATTTATGTGTAATTGCTAGAATTGAAATTCATGTTGTCATAAAAAAAATTTATGTGTAATTTACTAATTACAGATAACATTTGCACAAAAACAAAAACTAATTACAGATAACATCAATTTTTTTATTCGACAATTAGCTTATAGAGATGTTTGGTAAGATTAGTTGTGAGGCCGAACAATTAAAGGAGGATTCTCAACTTGGAAAGTCAAATAACCAAACATATTTTTTTGGCTGTATGACGAGATTAACGACATGGATAAGCAAGAAGCCGGATATAAGCTGGCGATAAGCCATATGAATCAAGAGGCTAGCTGGCTAGTTATAGAGCTTGAAATTTTTTTTAAAAAATGTGGATGGGATATTTGGTGTAATATCTTGCGTTGTACATTGTTTAAGATATGAAATTAGCGGACTTGGTTTAATCGAGTGACTTAATAAGGCTTTCTGCAGTAGATAGTCTCTAAGCAGCAGATTCCTAGATGAAGCTTACAAATAAAAGGTCAAGTTATGCTAAAGTTATATGTGTATGACTTACATTAGTTCTATAAAGTAACCAACCATTATGAGTAACAGAAGCTAGCAATGATTCATGAAAATGAATTAATGTATAACTTCAAGGTATTTTATTTAGTTGTTATATGAGGCTACATGTACAAAATCTTCGTAAGGGGAGGGATAAGCTTGTCTTAAATCATGTAAGTTTCAAATGTGAGCTTGCCTCGCTAGGTGAAGTAGCATTGCTAAACACGAAGACTAGTTTGTCGGTTATGACTTATGATGTACCTCTTCTTTTCATTTATTGTATTTGAAACTTTTAAGAGCTTTAAGTAAATTGTCATCATGAAGCTCAATCTTTTTTAAATACCAAAGGTCTAGTAATTGATTTTGAACCCCTCTAATTTGATTTTATTTCGTGAAGAATACTTACATTTTTTTTTCTCTGACAATATTATGCTGCAGACAAGAGTAAGAAGAGCCGGTGCTGGTGTTGTTACAGCCAAGTTTGACTTGAAGCCCCCACCTTATCCATTTGTAAGATTCACATTACTTGAAAGCTCTTTATATGATAATTCTTGCTTAAAATTATTCTACTTGTCGTTACTTAAGCTACGTGATGTATGGCTGGAAAGCAGTATCCTATGAATCTCAAGTTTGCTAATCTCTTAGCACCTCTATGTTAATTGTTGATAGGATGCCTTGGAGCCGCATATGAGCAAACAGACGTTTGAGTATCATTGGGGGAAGCATCATAGAGCATATGTGGATAACTTAAACAAGCAAATAGTTGGAACAGAATTAGATGGATTGCCACTTGAAGAAGTCGTACGAATCACATATAACAAAGGGGACATGCTTCCTTCTTTTAATAATGCAGCACAGGTATGCGTTTGTAACTTTCTTCAAGTGCAGACTACCATTGTTAGAATCTCAATGTCTTCACAGTTGCACTTTTAATTTAGGCCTGGAACCATGAGTTCTTTTGGGAGTCCATGAAGCCTGGTGGTGGGGGAAAGCCTTCTGGCGAGCTTTTGGCACAGATTGAAAAGGATTTTGGTTCATTTGAAGCATTTACTAATGAATTCAAGACTGCTGCTGCCACACAATTTGGTTCTGGCTGGGCTTGGCTTGTTTGTGAGTATCCCAGATTACTAACATCTTTGGTTTTATAGATAAATTTTACAGGATGACCCTACCCATTTTCACCTTGATAAAGAAAAAGGAAAAAATAATAATCAGCTTCTGGTATTTGATGTATGCTAATCTACTAATTTCCCTTTGAACGCAGACAAAGCAAATAAATTGGATGTCGGAAATGCAGTAAACCCAAAACCATCTGAAGATGACAAGAAGCTTGTGGTTGTTAAGAGCCCAAATGCTGTGAACCCTCTTGTTTGGGATTATTATGTGAGTAATATATCTTTAGGCTCATGACTAGCAATGTTGTAGTGAGCTGATAAAGTGACATAATGCTTTGCTAAGACCTTGTTTACTTAAGTCCCAATTTTGATGTATGGCATGTCTTATGTTGCAGCCGCTTCTTACTATCGATGTTTGGGAGCATGCATATTACTTGGACTTCCAGGTTAGGCTAACTTCCAAAAGTCTCAGAATACTTGCAAATGCTTCAACCTCCCCCTCCCCCTTTTTTTCACCCCCTATGAAAAAGATAAAACTGCAAATGGATTTGATTGAATAGGAAAGCCTCTTTTTTCTGTTTTCCTTCTCAGAATATGTTAAACACAAGCCGACCTCATATATCTCTGTTTTGCAGAATCGAAGGCCTGATTACATCTCAATTTTCATGGAAAATCTTGTTTCCTGGGATGCTGTCAATGCAAGATATGAGGCTGCTAAGTCTCTTGCTATGGAGAGAGAGAAAGAAGCAGTGCAGAATTAAGAAGATTTTTGCTAGAAAGTAAGTAGTGAAACCACAGGCATTCATTTTTGATATTGATACAAATGTCTCCAAATTAGAATAAAGTGACCAAATTCAGGAAAATTTTTGGACCAAGTCCCGATTATCCGAGCAATAATTAGACAAAGATTTATGATAGTATATGAACCTTGTTAGACATGTTTTCAAGTGCAAGGGCTTTAAACTAGTATTGTGCACTAAGGTTGGTAATTTTAAAAAGCTACTTTCTGGTAATTTTTGTTCAATTAGATTTTGTCATATTTAAGGATGGGCCATCTTCTCAAAGATTGTGTTCTGTTCATTTACTTGTCGGTCTTGATAGGTGTAATGGTTGTTATGTGATCAAGTTAGCTAAATATTGGTGCAGCAGATCGAAGCTGGAGTTTAGCCTTGTCGAACCGGGCCAAGCTGTTGTAGCTGAGCTTCTTTGTGTTCCTTATACGGGTTGTATGACGGTGCATTATAGCTTGTTATACAGTTCTGATTGTATGCCAGCAATAGTAAAAATAATGAGCTTCTTTCTGTGAAAACATGTTTCTAGGGAGGCACTTAAACCAGATATAAAGCATTATTATGTATTGCCAAAAAAAAAAAAAGCATTATTATGGAGAAAATTTTATTAACGCTGTTGATTTTATGAACTTTGCATGATTTTTGATAACTGA